TTCACGGAAGATACGAGAATGAAAATGCGTAGACTCGTTCTATGACTCGTAAAGTCTTCTTCGAAGGGAGAAAAAGAAAAAAAGGAAAGAAGATGAAAAAGGAAAGGAAAAGAAAAAGGAGGAAGCTTTGTCGGCAATGTGAGAAGAAGAAAAAAATAAGAAGTCAAAGAGTAATACAGTATTACAGTACGTAGCAAAAGAGTAAAACATATGGCAGATCGTCTTCGTGTATTCGACTTCCGATATCGTAAAGGTATAACGTATGCATATAAGGCAGCTTTGGAATGCGTCCCATGAGACGCGTTTACGAGCTCGGATAACATTTTACGCGAAGCCAAAAGAAGAATGTCGAAGTGATACTTTATCGCTAAATCCGTTAGCCGTTGTAAAAGCACCCGGAGGCTTTGCGATACATCTATGTGTCTGTCGAGGGGCTAAAAGTCAAAGCTCGAAATACGACGTGCTGGCAATTCGCATATCACAAGAATCGACAACGACAAGACTTTAGATTTTGATCTAACGTGATATTACCCCTTTCGTCAAATTGAAAACTATGATATCTAAGAAATTGAGATCTATTTTTAAATCACTATCATTTTCTTCTTTTTTTTCTTCGAAGTTTGACACTTTAGGGATTGATAACGATACAAATTTTATTAAAAGTCGATAGTCTGTCGAATACAACATTGTCATCTATGAAAATTAGTTGATATTTTGTTGCTGATTGTATAAAAATATACAAAATAAATGTGCGATAAATATGTCAGAATAATAAAAATATATATAACATATAATAAATGGCTGTATGTTATTATGTTAATCCTTCGATAAGACATATAAATAACGTTCGATAAAAATACTTTCATAGATGACTCAGTTTATCGTTGGATTTCGAAGAGGACGGTAAATCGAACTAGTATTGAGTGCTTTTGGACTATAATATACATTTTTTTGTATTAATTGTCAATCATTTAAGATATATCGAGCACTATAATGTACTTTACTAATATTATTCTTTATATTTATTGAATATATACAGCTATTGATAAATAATTCATTTTATAGATTTTTATTTTATAATTATTTAATTCGTGGAAAAATAATAGCAATTTTCATTATTTTATATTTTCAAATTATTCGTCTAATATTATTGTCACGTAATATTTACATAAACATAATATTTCATTTTTGAATAAAAAAAACCTAAAACGGTTGGATATTATTAACGCAGCACATTTCTTCTCGCGTATTTATATTTAATATTATCCATTTATCCTATACAAAAAAATGACAAGGTAAGTTGACAGGAGTTGACGCGAGAGTCACCAAGAGTCAATGTAATAAATGGAAAATACCTGGTATGTATACGTCTCGTCGTGTAACACGTTATAAAACGAGTTTCTTGCGTAAAATTCCTGACGTTTCTTTCGTCTCCATGTAACTTAACGCCCGTTTCCAAAACTTGTTTCATATTTGATATATATTCAACTCTCGTTCGCATAAGAAAATAACTAAAATATGATTCAGTTCGTACGCGTTATTATAGTAATAATTAGGCTAGTTCTACGACGATATCCATTCGCCCTAAATGCAAGGATGTTTGCTGTCAGAAGTTTGGTCCCCATTGGGAGTACGATAATCGAGAAACGTTAGCGAACACGTATCGAAGTTAAACTTAAACGCGAAGTCAAAGACATCTTGGTTAAAGTGACTACTTCCATTTTCAAGAGTAGATACATCATTAATTTCAACGATCTTCACGAACTTTTACTTCTTAACTTCTTCAATCGATTTTCACGTCGAAATGGATCGAACCGAACTTACTTGGACATGTGAATGCTTCGGACGTTATAAACACAAAGATAGAAACAAACACACAAACGCATATATGTATATATTATAGTACATATAAATCAAAATAGAGATAGCTGTAAACTCAGCATATTAGTTCGAAGAAGGAGATACGCAGATACATCTTATTACAAAGTTTTCCCGCTCGCCTGTACCATATCGAAATATTAGAGTTAGTTAAGGTAAGATTTATCACGCGTTCTCTATACACAGGCTACTTCTAACCACTCAATTAATTATCTCTATTACGTATAAATAGAACTTTTCGTTGCTTACAAAAATATTAATGGAAAAAAAAAAATACTGAAAAAAAGTTAATCGAGAGATAGGATACTTGAATTAAATTCAATCGCAAAAAGGAAAGAAATGAAACGAAGATGGGAACACAAATGTTTAAATTAAAATAAAGCGAACTTTATCTACTCTAGTCTCTAAATTGTTTAAATAGCAAAGTAAAGAAACACGATCAACTTGGGATATAACCTCAGAGTGATAGAATATCCAAATGACGAGGAAGCGAACTCATGATTTAAACATAAGCTACGTTTAATATAAACGAAAGCATAAGGGGTGTGCTTTCGCCAAGGGATAGATAAAAGATGCTTAGGATCGTTAAGGAAAAAAAATAAACAGTCGGGTGGAATAAAAAGTACCCGTTCTTTATAAAAGAATACGAAAGAGAATACTTGCTGTTGACGAGCTACCTTCTTGATTGGCTTCCCTTGCTGTCCACCATAGAAAGAAAGAGAAAGGTGTCAAGGAAGAAAGAAAATTTCCTCTCTCCCCTTAGTCCCTTAAGCAACCCCCATCCCAACCCCTGAGAATGGACGACACAAAAGGCCAACTAAGGTATCCGTGATACAAAACCCCGGAGCAATGAGTACAATGAACAAAACGTACGATGGAAATTAGTTTAAGTCATTTGCACGGGCGGTACATTCACGAGATTTGAATCGAATTCAAACTGACTTGAATTATATTCATTTTTAAATTGAAAAGATCCTCATCTTTTATGTTTCCCTAGCGTTATTCCAAAGTTATAATGAGAATACTAGTACGAGTTCTATATGTCCTAAAATACCTCTTATATCTAAAATAATTAAGCATAAGAAAGCACGTAAATAAGCAAAATTTTAATATACACTTAAATTATTAATTTTAAGAATAATAAGATATAGGTGGTTATATGTATATGAATTCACAAGTGGCAAGTAGTTAAAATATGAGATTGAAATTCGATCAAAAGTAGAAGAAAAATATTCTTCGATTTCGTTTAAAAAAATATCTGCATTGTTATAAATCCGAAGATATATTTTATCTATCAATATATATATGTATATATATATATATAATATAATACTTAGCTACGTTTGCACTTAGTTTATTTTTCTATTTGAATTTCTATCTTTTTCAATTTGAAATTGACTTTACCTTTTATTATTATTACGTGAAGTTGATTTAAAAGAAAGAAGAAAAAATAAGAATTAGTAAATATCAAAAACTGTATTACCATAGCACGACAAGGTAGATACGATGTAAAGTACATAAATTACGACTGTAGATAACATTCGGTCTACGTTTTAAGTAAACCTAATTTACGTATTACCGATAAACGATAAATAATAGTTATGATGGCTACTAATTTGTATGATTTATGCATTTCAACAGGTATTACCCTAAAATTGTAAATGTTACTTGTTACGAGTGCATATTTTCTTGCCTTTTTTTTATATTGTCGGTTCTTTTTTCTCTCTCTATCTGCATATAAAATTATCAATTTAATTCAAGGACATCGTGTTATCGAAAAAACAATGATCCTTGACAATACAGCCGTAGAAATTATTTTTTCAATGTCTTCTTCTTCGATGTTTTGTTGATTCTTTTTATTTGCAATATAGTTTTTTTCTTCTTTTTTTTTTTTTCCTTTTTTATTTTTCTACCGTGAATGCATAACGGCAGCGTACATTACAATGTTGTTTCGAAACGTAACGATATCGAACGATGTAAATCTTCGAGGCGAGATAATATAAACGTATAAACGCGCGAAGAAGTGGAGGAATAGGCATATAAAAACTTCGTTGATTTTCCTCGCGTGTTAAACAACACGCAGTGTCAGATGAACGCGAAAAGCCAACGCGAGCGTGTTTCGTACCTTTAGAAGTTAAAATCAAACATATAATATTCGTTTGTGATAAATAAAATGTATATCAATCTGTGAGACTGAATAATTAAAAATTATAAAATACCGATCAAACAATAGATAATAATAGGAACAATAAAATGATACGATAACAAATAATTTGTTATAAATTCGACGGAATAAAATTTGTCTCAAAATTTGTTCATTTATGAAAATTAACACGAACATAAGAATTTTTATCTTATAATTAATGCTAGAGTGCTTGTTAAAATTATTTTTTCATCTAATATACGAAAATAACTGATACGATTCACGGACAAGTCAATTCTATTACGTTAATGAGTAGAAAAAATTGAAAAAAGATCGTTATTCAAGATAAAACAAAGCAAACTAATTGTAAATGCAATATGTGCATCAATGTCGCAAGAGAATTTTATTGTCGATAGCTGTCAATACTATTAATACGTTAGATATGTATATCAGAAAAGAATTTTTCTAGAAAGGCAAACTAAAAATCGAGAAATAGAAGAAAGCAAACGGGAAAGGAAATAGAAAAAAAGGAAAGGAAATAGAAAAAAAGGAAAGAAAAGACTAAAAGCATACATACCTCGATTTGCAGAAATAATAAAAACAAAAAAGAAAGACAGAAAAAAGGGGTAAAAGGGGGAGAAAAAATGTTTACCATCGAGTAGGATATTCAACAAATGCAAACGAAGAACGGGAAGTTTTCCCAAGACAATAGTGGAAACGCATTCCTATAGAAAACAAGCAACCAGAAACGACGCATTTCGTTTTGTCCTTATCGATGCATACAAATGCAAAAGCTCCCGGTGTTACTCGATAAACGAGAGAAAGGAAAAAAGTAACAAAATCCAATGGACAGACAAGAGTGGAAAAATATTCTTCAAGAGGGTAGGAGATATCGATGAACCGAAAACACGTTGGTGCTCGTAAAAGAAGAAAAGATCGTTCGGTTGCGTTAAAAGAAAATAAATAAACGTAAAGTAGGATGAAGAAGATAATGGTGACGATGGAAACTTTGAACAGTAGCCTACTTTTCCTATCAACATTAGAAAATTTGAGTAGTGAAATGATCGTTGATCCAACAGATATGTTAACCAAAAACACGAGCGACATTTTAACGTCAAATAATTGTACATTTTCCGAGCATGCACCTAAATTAACTAACACGGGGTTTTTCAAAGTTGTTGTATTAGCTGTATTATCGATTATAAGTCTAATAGCAAACGTTGCAACAATATATTCGGTAATGAAAAATCGTCGTAAACGACAAAATTGGTCGGCCATTTATACATTGATCCTTCATCTATCCATCGCCGATCTCCTCGTAACAATATTTTGTATCGGTGGTGAAGCAATCTGGAGTTATACCGTTCAATGGATCTGGGGTAACGTTGCTTGCAAAATCTTCAAATTTCTCCAAGTGTTCAGCCTTTATCTCAGCACGTTCATCCTCGTTCTGATTGGTGTCGACCGTTTCGTAGCTATTCGATATCCGATGAAAAGTCTAAACACAACTCATCGATATCTCAGATTCGTCGCTATCGCTTGGATACTTTCTATCATTTTGGCAGCACCACAGGTAATATTCATAAAATTCATTTATTCATTTAATACGGGAAAATTTGGAATTGCGTACAAATTTATCTTTGAAATTGATCTTTCATGTTTTGTTAATATTTGAAAAGTAATTTACGTGTTTTTGACTTTTTTATGTCAAAATAAAACTGAAGTATAACGTCTTTTGTTTTTTATTTTTTATACTTCACCTTTTGTAAAATCAGTGATCTTTTTAAGCATATTGTTCTTATCTTTGAATATGTAATACATTTTAGATATTCGATATTTTCTCGTCTTGGCATTCGTTAAAAGAAATAGAAAAAAAAAAAAATAATGTCTTACATAATAGTCACAAAAAATATTTAAGTATTTAGTAACTTTTAGCGAACTATTAAATTGACTTTCATCAGAGATAGGAATGATGCATCTTTTACATTGCTATCGGTTTCTCGCTCCATCTTCGTTATTACTCTTTCCCATTTTCTCTTTTCGCAGCTACCATTAAATTGTCTCTCGAAACACATATCGATCACTGGAAGTCCGATGACGATTTAAAAAGAAAAGAAATAAAAGAACAAAATTAACTGAGTAGAAGTTTCTCCTGAGATAAAGTTCTGAACTTCGTCCAATGAATTTGTTTCAAACTTCGTTAATTTATTATTTGCGATACTTATTATTGATCGATGTGGATCTAAATAAAAATTTTCTTTAAAACGTTACGACTATATTACTTTTTTCTTTACATCTGTAACGTATATTATACGTGTAAATATAAACACATAATTATATATATATATACATAAATAACGCAATAATATAAATATGAGAAATAAAATAAATTTATTCAAAAAGTTCGTCAAGCATACGAGAACATATTAAAAAGATTTTCTTATTACGCATCCTTGTAACGGGAATTTATTTATTGTTAATTAGTTAAATGTCACTCTTATCATTTAATTATAAACTACGTCACATTCTTTCCCTTTGAAAAATCCGAAAAGAGATCAAGTTTATTTTCCTTTTGACCAGACAAAAATTGATATTCATATATGCATAGACAAACGACATTCGATGCGATATTAATTGTAAACACGATTCTAATAGCACTAACGCAACCAACCAGTTTTCTCTCTTTTATTTTTTCAATTATGAGCTAGTTATTATTTATTTCATACTACTTCTTACTGTATTTCTTTTCTCTCTCTCTCTCTCTCTCACACACTCTCCTTTTTATTTTAAAAAAAATAATATATATGCAAAATTTATCGTCTATATCATTAACTATTCATAATTAAACGATAATCTTTTTTCTTTAGAAACACATAATGCATAAAGTCGGAAGAAAATTGTTTGGACAAACAATAACTGAAATGATGAAGAAAACGAGACGATATATAAACGTGCAAAAGAAATTTAACTTCTTCACCAAATTTTTGTATAATATTATCAGAATTACTGTAATAATAACAACAATGATCAGGTGCAAAAAAATAGATTAAAAATAAGTCCATAAGTTGTAATTAAATTGCATCTGCAAAAGATCTGTAATACGAAAATGTATAAATGAATATCAAATTAGTTTATATATTTCGTTAAATAAATTTTAATTAATTTTTTTGTTTTTTTATTATGAGATATTTAATTCATACATCATTGATCGATATCGAGTCCACTCGTGTTCGCACACTATACTAATATTTAAATATCACAAAGAAATAATTTGTAGTAAATAATAAATAAATAGAAAAAAAATAAGGTAAAAAAAAAAAAGAATGTAATAAAGTTAAATAAAAAAAATTAAATATCAAATGTATTATTCTCCGAGGGTCGACGCGAATATTAACAATGTTAATATTATAACATTAATATTACACAAAATTAATTTATATAATCATTAAATGTTGCGTTACTCGTATACTTTCTTATGGATAATATTTTTTAATAGGATAACGGAATACCATTGTCACGTCTTTCAACGGATAGCGTTGAAGAATTACTACTATTTTCACATTCATTGGGATTATTATTCTCGATCATTTGATTCAATGAAAAATTATCTACTTCCGATACAGGACCAATCGTCGATTTCCTGCTACGACCCCTTTTTTTACCTCTTTTACAAATGCATTTACTTCTTCTCCTTCGTGATCTTCTCGATTTACAAAGTGGTCTTCTTCTCTTCCTGGAACTTCGACGTTTCTTTTTACATTTGCACATACCTCGTCTACTACGACGAGATCGTCGGCTCCTAGGTCTACAACCACGACGTCTTCTTCTTCGTTGTCTTTTACGACAATACATATCCAAAAGACCTAACTCCTGCGTTGCAATTTCATCGCATTCTGCTTGTGTATCAGTTGGCAAGCTATAATGTGCACCGCTCTTTTTCAAAATCCCATAAGCAACACCACGTTTCAAAGCGGTTTGCATCTATTCGTAAAATAAGAAAACTCATTTGTTTTTTTGGAGAATACACACGATATTGGATTATTTTTAAAAAAAATTTCATTCATTATTATTTTAATAATGTTACAAACGTTATAAAAATTATTAACCAACCTGACGACGAGCAGTTTCTGGTGATAAATTGTATATAGCAGTAATGTAATTTAAAATTTCTCGCGATGTCGAACCTTTCGTTTCGCGTAATTCTTTGATAGCTGAGATTATCAGTGCCAAGGTCTTATTCGTTAAAAATCCCATGTTGAAAGATCACAAAGTTTCTGAAGTACTATACAAATGCAATTCGAGAATGCAACCTACGTGAAAGAATTATTTAAATCAGTAACAAAATGTTTATTCCACATATTTCAATCTATAGTAAATATTTAAATTCTCTTGTCATATATATTTAAGAGAAAGTATCGCAGACGTTTAGAATATTATGTATCGATAAGAAGTAGGAATAACGTGTTGCACCCGGTGTGTATAAATGCATGTCTATGTGTGTGTGTGTGTGTGTGAAGAAGTTGAACAAGTTTATCCATAAATGGATAATTGTGCAGACGAATCGGACGCCGATTCTCAGAGTCTGGAAACTCTGTAGATCATTGATAAAGTCTCGTGAGATCAATCATCAAGTGCGTAACGTATAAATAATTGTGGTATCTCATGCATCTCATGAACAAAATAAACTGATTTTAAAGTTTCAATGTAAAAGGAAAAAGAAAAAGAAAAAAAAAAATCTACAGGAATAAGAAATATGTATCAAAGGTAAAAAAAAAATATTACCTCGACGATTGAAGAAACGTCATAGGAGGGACACATTTGCCGATTCATTCAAATTTGTTTACTTCCGTATAAATACCGCTTCATCTTTTAACGATATTTTAATCCAAATATTACGGATTGAACACGATTAATTTTAAATTTAGATAATCAAACCAAAACGTTACTTATTTTAATGAGAGAAAAAAAACGACTCGTTTATTTATTTATGATCGTACGATGTTTGTTACTAAGCAAAAAGAAACAAAGACAGAGGAAAATTGATCGTTTTTCGATTAAAACTTGTATCCATCTTCAAGATCGTTCACGCGTGCATGCGTGCGTGTGCTTGATAATTATGATAATAGAAAAATCGAAGAAATTATATTATAAAATATATATTTTATATATTATAATTATTAATATTACAAACATATATCCAACTGTCAAACTGAATAAGAAAATATCTAACCCTATGTCAACAGATTGTCATCTTTCACATTGCACGTGGACCCTTTATCGAGAAATTCACACAATGCGTGACCCATGGATTCTACACAGAACCATGGCAGGAAAAGTTATACATTATGTTCAGCATATTTTTTATGTTTCTCTTACCATTAGCCATACTGATTACCACCTATGTCTCAACGATAATTACTCTATCACGTAAGTAGTAAAATTATTCATAATTGTTTTATTTTCACACTAGTTTATTTTTAATCTTTTTAATTAATAATCAATGACTCCCTATCATATTATTTGTTTCAGGAAGCGAAGAAGCATTCCAGTCTGAATTAATTAACAATAATTTACACCGTACCAACAGCGACATTAATAGAAGAAAATTGATAAATCGTGCAAAATCGAAATCATTACGTATCAGCATTGTCATAGTCGCTGCGTTTATCATATGGTGGACCCCATACTACACGATGATGATTATCTTCATTTTTCTCAATCCCAACAAGAACGCAAGTGATAGAGTTCTACTTTGAAAATATCATTTCATTTCAATCGTCTTGATGAATCTATCATTTATTTTTAGGTTACCAATGATCTCCTAAATTTCATATTTTTCTTTGGTATGACCAACAGTTTGGTGAATCCATTGATATACGGTGCGTTTCATCTTTGGCCGAAACGTAAAAGACCAAATTTTTGCTTCAGGTAACTTCGAGCTTAATGATAAATGAACAAAAAAACGATTAAATTAAAGTGGAGTCTCGTATAATGCAATGAATATTTTACAATTAACATCTGCAATCGCAATTATATGGTTGAGTTATGCGTGAGTTATTTTATTATATATCTTTTATTTTCCTTGAGATAATTTATCATTTTTTATGAGAACATATTTATCAGATGATAAATATATTTTTTTATCAGATAATTTTTCTCTTCCGCGAACTATTATTAATAAAATTGAGGTTAAAAATGAATTTAAAAAAGAAGAAGAAGAAAAAAAGAATGAAAGAAACAATTACGAAACAGAATTAATCAATAGCGATAAAGACAACGATATAATTTGCTCAATTAAAGAAAAAATTAATGTTTAAATGAAGGAAATTCCAGAATTTGATTATTTCTCCGCTTTGTACGAGAAATCATTTTATATGACAGCACTGTACAAATTGTAATTTTTTTGTATAGAAATTTGTATTTCACTGTAACTCGTATTATACGGAAATCTATTGCATTTTTAATAGTAATTGGAGGAATTTTTTGTTTTTTATTTTCTTTCCTCTATGTCTTTTGTATTTCTTTTTCTACATGTCATTTTAATTAATATTCACAGAGATTTTTTCATGTCGCAACGACGAAAAAATCGTACGAGTAGTAATGATTCGACGAGAGAACTTCAAGAAACACGGCCACTTTTTATTTCGCGTGGTATACGCATACTGACAACTTCCATTGAGAAGAGGAACATACGTATATAAATAATTTACATATATATATATATATATTTCTATATATATTATGTAATTTTATTATTATACTATACGGGAGCACAAATGTTACAAAAGTATATGAACAATATTTTAATATTATAAATATAACATAAATTCTGCTTTTTCTTTTTATGTGTAACATTTCTAATCATATGAATATTTATTATGAGAATGTAATTTTAGGTAACAATGCAATATTCTAATGACTGCCTCTAGTCTTTTTAAACAGCACAGATAAGATAGCAATTTTAAAATGAAAGTTATGCGTAGTATATTTAATTTTAAAAAGACACGTGTAACGCTTTAGTGATAGATCATATAATAATAATATAATTATTCGTGATATAATTAGCAATTTTATTATCCTTTTTTTTTATCTAACTGGTTGTTACAATGTCATATACTATAACTTGCTTACAAGGATAATTAGTTTTTTTTATATGATTTAGCAAAATCTCAGCCATTAAGTGTTCATAAAAATCTCATCTATTAAATTGTACTATTTAAATAAAAAAGTGATAGCAATCCTTTTTACATATGAATAATTATATTATTTATATGTAACTAATGATAGGATAGATATTTTAAATTTGATCTTTGTTCTTGAATAAATGTTATTATAATATTTTAAGAGAAACCACATGATACAAAAATAAATACGTTAGGTGTCCTATTATATTTTTTATTATTTCAAGACTATCTCGTAAGAATTTAATAAATAATAAGATTAATTTATTTGTATTAATGTGTTTACATATATAAGAAAATATAATATGTTCTTTAGTAAGTGTTTTGTTTTAAATCATTTTATTAATTGTAATTTTTCATTGATATTTTATCGAGTATCGATGTTAAAAAACAAAATCAGAACAAACTATACAATCGCAACAATGTAATCAATTTTTCTCTAAACGTCTGATAACCAATGAATTAATTAATTAATCAATATTGTATCTTGTATTTTCTTTTTCTTTTTATTTATTTATTTTTGTTCGTATACTTTTACAGTTTTAATAATCTTTTAGTTTTTCCGTAGTTTGAATCGTTGAATATTTTTAATGCTAGAGTATATATCCAAAAAGTGAAAAAAATAACATTGAATTAATAATTCAACAAATGTTTGGCAAAAATAAATAGAATATTTACATGTGCGTATTTTGCGTACTGTTCCATGTATCAGTCAGTATTCGTACTTGTATTCGTGCCCGGTCATGTATAAGTGCTGTGATAATGAATTTTCGTGCAGAAACATTGATGCAATGCCATCTGTCGTTACTCAGCGCATAGCATGACATGCAATACGGAATAACTGATAAATATCACTATCTTTTTACTCAATAATTTACCGTAGGAACGCTGGCAAGGAACCTTAACAGCATAAAAAAATGAATTAGTGCTCTTAATTGCTCACTATTTGCTCAAAATTACATTATCAAATATTTTTTATTTATCATTAATTAGTTAAAAATAATTATTTCACTTTGAATAATTATGTCATGAGTGGGAGATATGTTATACAAATGCGCAACCACAAATTCAAGGCGCAAGCACACTTGGAAAAAAATGAAAGTAAAGTTGGTATATACCTGGAGGGGATATATTTAAAGTTGATTTCCAAAGTAACAAGCTATAAGATAGTGAAAAGAAATAAGTTAATCGTTCATAATGTGTTAAACAATAGGTAAATATTTTTATTTTTTCATTTTTTTCTGCTGTTGCAATTCTATGCCAACTTTTTTTTGGTGAAGTATATAAAAACTCACAAGTCCCCTTTTTTATCTATCCAACATCATTTTTGCTATTTAAAAAGAACAAACGTACATACATACCCACCCACTTACTCCACGATTCTCTCACATACCACCAGGGTGCAAAAKCCTAAACTAGAGAGYATGCCCCGGGRCACCTCCGACACCCTAGTTCAAACGCGTGTTTTCTAATTTTATGGGTATACGTACTTTTTGCTGTAATCGTCTGCCAAGGCTAGTGATTATTGCAATAATGATTAAAGCAAAAATACTGGTACATACTAGTATATATGCATACTAATATAATACAAGTATTGTAAAATCTCCACAAATAAATGTAGGAACTCTACTATTCAAAACGATTCGAAAAAAAAATGAGAAAAATTTAATATAAATATAAAAATACAAATATTGGTACTTTTCATACCATAAATGACTCTACAAGTAGTATTCCGAGTATTGAATGAGATGGATTAATTAAAAACAATCGTGAAACGATGTACAATGCACATACCTAATACGCACACACAGGTGCAATGTACACCGTGCAATCACTAGCACAATGACAGCCGCAAATAGGGGAAAAACTTAAAACTAAATCTATACTAACTGTTTCTCATCCATACGCGAGTAGCACCTGGGCACACGTATAGATGAGAACGTAGAAAGTATAGGGGGGAGAAACGGGAGATTAGTACATTAGAAGCTGAAAATCCTGATCTAAAAAATATGATTAAAAACACACATAAATATATAACAAATAAATACATTTTTATATACATTCATCTAAGCGACTAGGGACTCTACAATATATTTGATAAATAATATATATATAACTTTTAATATCTTTTAATAAACTTCAAAACCTCGGACGACTCCTTTCATTAAGTTGGCTGTTCTAATAAAAGAACTGGGCTTTGAGCCACCACTTAACTGCTAGAATCTATCCGTCGCGAATGAGTTTGTCTTCTTGCTCATTTATTGATAATATCGAAGTATCGATATATTAAAATTAATCACGATTAGATAAACTAAGTACGAAGCAATGCATGTAAAACATTTATTACATGCTTTTCTGATCAAAAACGAGTAAATTAATACTCGGTTTCACCACTACTAACCACGAACAAAACACGTAATAAAAAAGAAAGTGCATTAATTAATTGCACTATTAATCAAATGAATCGAACCGATGAAACAAGAAAACCTATCCTGAACTAACATAAAATATACAATAAAATATACAATACAATATACAATTTTCATGAGTAACTCCTAGAAAGGAACTACTCATGTGCTCGTCACTAATTTATTGGAATAATTACAACCAGTAATTCGTGCCGATTAGGACCTTTCATCCTCGACATGATTGAGCACCGGAGGAACTTTACATTTTTTGACTCACTCCGTAAGAAGTTCTACGATGGCTCCAAAAAACTCCTACTTTGCAGTAAGTATTGAAGAATATCTATCGAAGATCCATCGAAGATCCATCGATGATCGATCGATGATCCATCGAAGAATTCATCCCACATCTTTGATAAGGTAGAAAGTCCGTCGTCATATCTGTAAAATAAAATAGAACAAAATGATAAGTTATATGTAATATGATCCAAAATCATATCAAACAAAAACGAATAAAATGTTAATAAAAATRAATACTTACAATGCATTCCAATGGGATGAAGCTCAGTGGCACCATGGTGATGCATCTCGCGTGAATCTAATGACACGGTATAAACGAAAATAAGAAACTATAGATGAGTTTCTTATCGCGAAACCGGAATTAAATTATACGGCGAACAACACTGATTCTAATTCGCGTTTGATTTTAATTTGTTTTACGCCCGTTCACTGATTCTACAACTAATTCAAAGACTGCTTTGCACACAGTCTATTGAAACAAACAAATTTCACATTTTATTTTAATCCCGAAACGCGTTAAATTTAAAATCTTCATTGATGCACTGACTCTAATACGCGAACAGTCTGTGCGACTGTTNAACGCGTTAAATTTAAAATCTTCATTGATGCACTGACTCTAATACGCGAACAGTCTGTGCGACTGTTTAAAGATAAAAATACAACTTTACTCGAACAAACTCTAATGCAATTACTGCATTGGTCGCAGTTAATTTAATATATAAATTTCAAAAATAGTTCACGAACGCGACGGAATTAAAATTAACGAACGAACGTGCTTCTAATCCGTGATTTTAATTATATTTATAAACGATCAAACACTCCCGTATATTGCTTCGCGCACGATTGCAATGCACGAACACTTGCAACACTTCACAAACACAATTCACAAATACTTCCAACGGTGCAATATTCCCATGATGATCTGAAACAAAAATAAAAACAAAATTATGAATATCATTGTTGTAAGAAAAAATTATTATAATTATTAAGAAAGTGCTTAAAATAAAAATTGACTTACGTTTATTCTTCAGTGATGAATGCACGATGGATATCCTATCCTTAAGATGACGATGAACACACACGTTTAAAAAGAATAAAAGAAACTTACGAAGTTTCTATACCCGAGCAAACGAAACTTTAACATACGACGATCAACACTGATTCTACTTTCCGACTTTTTTATATTTTATTTTAACGATGCAACACACGAGTACTTCATTGCCTACGCGCTCGATAGCAATGATGTTCTGAAACAGAAAAAGAGAAGAACAATTAATATCATCGTTATAATAAAAAACCATTAAAGTTGTTATAGAAATTTTTTATAGAAAAATATACTTACTTTTAATTTTCATTGATGACTGCAGGATGGGTTTCCTACCCTTAGGATGACGATAAATAAAATAAAATAAAAGAAAAAAATCTGTAAAGAAGCTGAAACATATTAAAGATTATATTATAATACAATGTTCCCTGTTAATCATTTCTGAAGGCATAGCACACTTTCAAAGATATTCTATCATAAAGAATTAATGTTAGACATAAAAAGTTGTCTAATCAGTGCAGTTGTCGAATGTTTTAATTAGATAACGTTAGAAATAAAATGATTAAATAGTTTAATATACGTTATGTTTGCGTTAGATCTTAACTCGCCGAAGGACGGGAGGGGAATGAGATACGTTACTGCTTATCCTTCGTCCAACATTCGGTTGTTTACGTTTTGTTTCGGCTGTCTTTTCTTCGCCTCGAGAAATACCTACAAATA